AGAAAATTCAACCCACTTTTCCAACATTAAACATGGGGGCAGGGTGGAGGCCGGACGCACTTTAAATATGCCAAAAAACGTGAAAAGTCTTATTATTTTTGCACGCAATTGTAGTACAACATATTGGCGAACCAAAAGGTTCGTATTTTATATCAATATATATTTAAAAATTTGGGCTTAATTTTAGAAATACTTGGTAAGAACGCTGTACTAGTACAACAAGTTGATGAAATTCACCCCTTTTTCACCAAAATGTTCGTATTTTATATCAATATTGGAAAATTTGGGGTTAATTTTAGAAATACTTGGTACGAACGCTGTACTAGTACGACATGTTGATGAAATTCACCCCTTTTTCACCAAAATGTTCGTATTTTATATCAATATTGGAAAATTAGCGGTTAATTTTAGAAATACTTGGTACGAACGCTGTACTAGTACGACATGTTGATGAAATTCACCCCTTTTTCACCAAAATGTTCGTATTTTATAAAAATATTGGAAAATTCGGGGTAAATTTTAGAAATACTTGGTACGAACGCTGTACTAGTACAACATGTTGATGAAATTCACCCCTTTTTCACCAAAATGTTCGTATTTTATATCAATATTGGAAAATTAGCGGTTAATTTTAGAAATACTTGGTACGAACGCTGTATTAGTACAACATGTTGGTGAAATTCACCACTTTTTCACCAAAATGTTCGTATTTTATATCAATATTGGAAAATTTGGGCTTAATTTTAGAAATACTTGGTAAGAACGCTGTACTAGTACAACATGTTGATGAAATTCACCCCTTTTTCACCAAATTGTTCGTATTTTATATCAATATTGGAAAATTTGGGGTTAATTTTAGAAATACTTGGTATGAACGCCGTATTAGTACAACATGTTGGTGAAATTCACCCCTTTTTCACCAAAATGTTCGTATTTTATATCAATATTGGAAAATTTGCGGTTAATTTTAGAAATACTTTGTACGAACGCTGGACTAGTACAACATGTTGATGAAATTCACCCCTTTTTCACCAAAATTTTCGTATTTTATATCTATATTGGAAAATTTGGGGTTAATTTTAGAAATACTTGGTACGAACGCTGTATTAGTACAACATGTTGCTGAAATTCACCACTTTTTCACCAAAATGTTCGTATTTTACATCAATATTGGAAAATTTGCGGTTAATTTTAGAAATACTTTGTACGAACGCTGGACTAGTACAACATGTTGATGAAATTCATCCCTTTTTCACCAAAATGTTCGTATTTTATATCAATATGTATATTGGAAAATTTGGGGTTAATTTTAAAAATACTTGGTACGAACGCTGTACTAGTACAACATGTTGGTGAAATTCACCCCTTTTTCCCCAAAATGTTCGTATTTTATATAAATATTGGAAAATTTGGGGTTAATTTTAGAAATACTTGGTAAGAACGCCGTACTAGTACAACATGTTGGTGAAATTCACCCCCTTTTCACCAAAATGTTCGTATTTTATATCAATATTGGAAAATTTGGGGTTAATTTTAGAAATACTTGGTACGAACGCTGTACTAGTACAACATGTTGATGAAATTCACCCTTTTTTCACCAAAATGTTCGTATTTTATATGAATATTGGAAAATTTGGGGTAACTTTTAGAAATACACAACAACCGCATGGGACTTCAGCCCACATTCAATGTTATGTGAATGACCGAAGGAGAGAATTCAACCCACTTTTTCCAACATTGCATTGTCATCGGGGTAGGGGTGAGGCCGACGTACTTTAATTAAAATGGGCAAAAACGTGAAAAGTCTCATTATTTATGTATGCGATTGTAGGATGCTTATTTATAAGGATTAAGGCCTCACAGACCGAACGCGATTCGGAAACGGGACGCGAATTTTCAGGTTTTAAGTACGGTTTAATAGACGAGCAGGTTTGAAGACATGAGCGCGAAGCGCTAGTGGCTTTAGACCTAATAAAACGACCTGCGAGTTTATGAAAACGGCTTCAAACACGACTACAAATTCAATATATATATTTCCTTAAGCCTGGCGCACACGATGCGATTTTAGTCGGCCGATAAAAATCGTTTGACATACCGATATACATCGGTATACTCCGCACACGATTGAACTGTAGCCGCCATGTTGCCAAATAAATACAAGCACGTGATCACAGCACGAAATCTGATTGGTTATACTTAAAATTCCACCGATAAAAATCGTACAGTATCAAAACGTTTTGATGTTGCCCAATAATTTTATCTCATATATTTTTATAATGTAAACTCACAGACGGGTGTTCTTGAGTATGAATAAAGACTGTTATTATTATTATTATTATTAAAATCGAGCAACAAAAATCGGTTAATTAAAAATGACACCGCACACACAACGATTTTGTTAGTTTTAGTCAAACGATTTTTATCGGCCGACTAAAATCGCATCGTGTGCGCCAAGCTTTATTAGTATTCTTTATATACAAAATACTAATGAGGACACCACTACAATAGATACTGCCTTACTAGTATTCTTTATATAAAGAATACTAATTAGGAGTGTTTTATCGGGTTTAAAGCCACTGCACGTGACATATTATGGTTAACATGATTTGCCAATAAGCTTATGAATTATTAACGAGTGTTTGAATGTTAGAATAGGGTTCGGAAATGTAACACACATGTGTAACACTATGCAACGCTATGCCGGAAAAGTTGAGTAAGAACACTATGTAACAGTAGGTAACACAGTTATCACTATGTAGCACTATGTAAAAATATGTAACACTGTGTTACACCATGTAACACTGTATATAGCACTGCAATTATTTATTGCTACATGTTTAGCTGTAACATTGTTACATCCAATTAACCGCCATGAAAATGCAACTCTAAACCGTGCATGATACAATTTTGCATATTGTTTTAGAAGACGAAATTCGAAAATTTTATGTAAATTACTTAAATCTAAATATGCGTATGGTTCATCCTGTCTACCCTTGTATAATACACTCCTTATTAATACCTTTTATCGCATGTCGCCTCTAAATGTCGAAATTCATGTAGCTTCTTGCCAATCAACGACAGCGGTCTACCAGGTAACATTTGGTTTCTGTATCCTCCCACTAATACATAGCCAGCACCTCATGCATGAAGAAAAAATGAACGAATGGCTATTGAACACAAAACAGTCAGATCGTTTTCTTTATTTAATGTCGTGGTTGAAATCAGGATATTTAAGCTTTCGAAAGCAGGCAAACCTTAGTTAGTTTATCACATTCACTGGAGTGATCGATGAACGCAGAGTTTGTAGACGATAACTTGGTATAGCAAGATTGGTGAGTGAGATCATCGTCAACCTCGTACCCACGGTCCTCGTGTTTAAAGGTTCTAGTATGCACCACAACCTTCAAACACGGGGACCCTGGGTACGAGGTTGGTGCAAGGACTACTGCATGTACCTAATTAAGTAGGCCAGTCACGGATGAAAGTAGTACGCGAAACAATTTTTTCCGTTACATTAAGGCGGATTTCCAGTCCCCACACGAAACTCCTCACAGCTCGCTGCGAGTGCATTGCATAAGCGCTTTCATCCAATCACAATACTAAACAGTTAATTTTAATTAGATGCAAGCACACGCCGGGGGACTGGACACGAAAAAGCAAGAACGTCATGTAACGTGAAGAATAGGGTGCTGCCGAGCTGAGGCTTGGCAGCAACTAAATTGCCTTGTACACAATTTTATTTTGTTCAAAAAAGTCTCGAACTTACAACATGCAATAATTACTAGATACTGTAGTGTACTTCGGAATTTTATATTTACACAATGTTATGTTATTTTTGGTGCCAATATTTTAAACTGACATTAAATATCAATAAAAATCATTACTTAGTCTTCCCTTGTGAAAATGGCTTGAAGAAAATAATTTTCTTTTGGTAAACAAGTGTTACCATTGTTTTTTTGTCCAATATGTAGATTATCGTATTCATTTAGCTTGTAGTGCATGTCCATTGTTGGCCATCATTGTCCAATAACTTGTTAGGTTGCTGTTCATATAAAGGTTTGTAACATCATGACACACAATGTTCCGGACATCCATATGGTAGATTGGAAACAAGTACCGGTACGGTAATTTAATAATACATGGCAGAATAAAGATTTTATCATTATTATTATAGATTCCATTTCATTGCATTAGATGTAATATATCCATACAATCTTGTAAATCAGCATTCGTGTTCTAATAGGAATACATTTCTGTTAATCCAGAAGCTCCCATCCAATTACATCCACATTATATTTTGACTGTAACAACCGTTTGGTTCCATCCAGCAGTTAACATGGCACCATTCACATCCGTCAGAATTGCAAAACTATAGAAAAAAATAATTGGCGGCATGAGACTTTAGGCACCGCATAATAGGCAATTCCAGCTTTTAGTTTATGCTTGCAGGGGGGGGGGCAGGGCCGGGACAACTGGGAGGAGTGTGTTGGGGGAGCCCAACTTGCCCTGGAATGCTGAAGTTGCGGAACGTTTTAAATATTAAGGTTTGACAAAATTTTTGGGACGTTTTGCTTTCGGGAATGGAATGGAACGTCTACCTCCCCCCCGTATTTTGCGGAAAAATTTTTGCTTTCGGGAAAATTTTTTTTGAGGGGGCCCTGGAATGGGAGGGGGCCCAAATTTGTCAATTCACCTCCCCCCCCAACCAGATACCACTTGGCGCGGCCCTGGGGTGGGGGCTGCGAAGTAAAGTATCATATTACTGATTATGCTAAAAAAATAAAAATGGTTGCTGTGTAAACACAGAGTGATAGCTTATGCTTGTAAATATTGAAATGTTTCGGCAGTTTTTATCAAACTTTTTCAGCATAATCAGCAATATGATACCTTAATACTTCCCGTCACTCCCTGCGCACATAAATTAAAAGCTGGAATTGCCTCTACCCCAATGGATAGATCAGTGTTACTTTTTGGCACAGTGGGCGGATCAGTGATACTTTTTGCTTCAACAGGCTCCACCACAATGGGTACGTAGTTCAATGTTATTTTGTGCCTCAATGGGCTCTACCACAATGGGTAGTCGAATGTTATTTTTTTTAATGGGCCCTACCAAAATGGGCAGATCAATGTTATTTTGTGCCTCGGTGGGCTTTAGCTACCACAATGGGTAGTCGAATGATATTTTGTGCCTCAATGGGCACCACCTCAATGGGTAGACTGTTATTATTTTGTCCTACCACAATGGGTGGTTCAATGTTATTTTGTGCTTCAAAGGGATTCACAGGTGTTTGTAGTTGTTTTCGCTTGCACTATAACTGGCACATTACGTGTGTCGATCACACAATCACATATCTCGTATAGTCGCACTAAGAAAACATGTTTGTACAACTTGAAACACTGACAACTTTAGTTAAAGTTACCTACAGATAAGAATTCGACACCAGGTTCTAAGACAACAAAGCCATATAGGCACATATTATCCAGAGCTTGCAAGTACATTTTGTCTAATAAGACATTATTCAATGTTGTTTTGGACTAATCGACCAGTGCCATCAGTGGGATATTTAGGGCAGTTAAAACTGCCGATATTAAGTTCATTAACAAATAGTCTCCATATATTTTTTCCAGGATTGTAGAAATAATTACAGGCTGCATGTGCAAGAAGTAGTATTATTGCAAGAAAATGGACAAAAAATGACTGTCGATCAAATTTGTTGTATAAAACGTTCTTTAACTGAACCATACAAAGATATTTTTCGTAGGTTTATATGATCCACATTTTTGTCAATATTTTTCGTTTGTGTAGCGTGTATAACTTTTCCGTTGACTATAATTAAGGGTAATGATTTACTCTACAATTTAATCGTGTGCAAATGCTTAATTATTTGATAGTTTTCTTAACTTTTGTGTCTTAAGTTCGGTTTTCGACAATTATTTTTCAAGACTAATGTTCTCACGCCTCCCGGTCTAAAACGATAATTTTTAATTTAAATTCTGTTTTTTTATAGATTTTAAATGTTAGAAAACTTTTTACTAATGTCTAAACTACCCACCTAGTGTACCGTTTGTTTCGCTAGTCTTAAATAAATAAATAGCCTTGTTTTTGTTTTCAATTTGGCATTTAAATCCTCGCCATTTTTCATAGTACACGCGCATGCGCAGACGTTTTTTCGCGGTGCTCGCTACAGGGATGATTCGACCTTTAGAATCGATTTCTGACGTTTCCCCAGTGCCAGCCAAAAGGATGTAAACATCGCATTGTTTCGATTTCTGATTCTGTATTTCCGGTTGAAGCCCTCGCTAAAAATTTTGATATTCCGAATTATTATATATAGTAAAGAGTGAGATGCTGAAAAATACACAGTGAGATATTTTCCATATATTCACTAGTGAAGATAGTAGTGATACAATTTTTTGCTTGGGACTATATAACAAACAGAACATTACACGGTGGCTTGAAGCATATGTGTCACGATTTTGGAACAGTTACTATTTTTAGACTTTCATGGTTAGGATTAGGGTTTTGATTAGGGAAAGGGTCAGGATTAGGGTTAGGATTAGGGTTAAGATTAGGATTAAGATTAGGATTAGAGTGAGGGTTAGGTTTAGGGTTAAGTTTAAAATATAAAAGAATACAAAATTACAAAAGTCTAAAAATAGTACTCTTCCTAAAACGTGACAGGTATAATAGCTTGAAGAAATTACTTTTATCTTCTCGTGTTAAAAACCATATTTTACTCACTCGCTGCGCTCGTTCGTAAAATATTGTTTTCACCACATAAAAGTCATATCTTCGCGCGCAGTGTAAAATCGTCTATATAAAAGGTGCAAATCTGGAGATACAAACTTGAAAATAGCACTCTAAATAGTGTATTGGATTGTGATTCGAACAAGGGCCGATATTCGGCGAAAGGTATGGCTTAGTGATACATTGTGCAAATGAAGTTTTACAGCATTACTTATCCAAAGTTTCCTAGCACTCCAGCCTCTAGGAAGCTTTGAACGGATCTAGCTCGGTGTTTTAGGAACTGGGAGAGCCGAGAGTAGGAGTTGCTAGAAATACAGGATTGCAGTTTCGTACGATTCTCGGTAATGATGCGTGTCATGTTTGAGAACAGAAGCGTATCCTGTTTACACCCTCTTTTTACACCCTCCGACCGAGTTCGTCATGAATTTTACAGCGAATTTAAAGCTAGTGAAGATACAAACCAACACACTTTGAAAGTGCTTTAAATTTGGAATAAAATAATCCCCCGCCGGCGGGAGTAGGAACCAGAACGAACGTCGGAAATCCGAACTCGACCAGGCGACGTCGATCGATTATTCCTAGCAATTATTTGAAGTAAATCGTTCATTATTTTAGTTTAAAATAAAGATAATACTAAATTGTGAGAGACCCCAATATAAAAACATTGTTTCTGGGTCGGTATCAGTTCGGTTTCTGTGAGGTTTGAAGAGTGTATTTATGCTTGCGCAAGGCAAAGTTTGAAGGGCCATATCTTCCAATCACGCAATTAATCAAAAATCCTTACGAGGTTAAGTTGAGGAGAATTCTTTTCTACGTGAACCTGTGACCCTGAAACCAGCTCAAGGCGGTCTGGGTGTACCGAATTTGAGGGTCGAAGCCCCACAGAAATACGCAGAATCAAAGTTACTCACCAATGATGCCAAACTGCGGGTATGGAACCGTGTGAGCAGTCAATAGATGATCTGAAGAGAATACAGCAGGCAATCAAGATGGAGACTGCTGAGTCAAGAATGGATAGCATTGATGCATCTCTACCCAAACGTCCTATTTTTGGTAATGCAATCAAGAGATAAAGGAGCGATCTCTTGGCTAAACACCATACCACTCAAAGACCAAGGTTTAGCCCTTAATAAGCGATAATTTAAAGACTCGTTGCGAATGAGACACAATCTACCTCAGAATGATCTACCAAGCCATTGTGCGTGCGGAGATCGCTTCAACATCAATCATGCCCTCAGATGTAAAAAGGGGGGTTTCGTGGCGCAAAGGCATGACGGAGTTCGCAACTTGCTCACCACGCAACTTGGTAAAGTGTGTAAGAACGTGGAAATATAGCCACATCTCCAACCCCTTGGCAACGTAAGATTCAACTTGAGATCGGCCATCATAAGTCCTGAGGGGAGATTGGGCATGAAGGCGGACGGTTTTTGGTTACTTGGAGCTACGGCATTTTCTGACGTAAGAGTGACGTAAGGCCGGCCAAATCAGATGATTTTCAAGGAACATGAGAACGAAAAGAGGAGGAAATACCAACAGAGAGTGTTAGATGTTGAAATGGGCTCTTTTACACCCCTTGTTTTCGGGACAAATGGTGGAATGGGGATTGAATGCCAAATGTTTCTTAAACAGCCGGCGCAGAAACTGGCAGAAAAAGATAATGAACGATATGCAGTTGTAATAGCGTGGTTGAGAACCAGAATTTCTTTCTAAGGTCAGTACATGTGAGTGTCAAGGGGTCTAGACCACCTTTCTATAGAAAATAACTTGAACTTGTGGACGATTTTGGACTAAACGCTAAGGCCGCTGGAATTTTTAATTTTTTTTTCAAATTTTAGATGAGGTATATAAACGTATCAGTTCATCCCATTTTAAACGTTGTATTATAGAAGTATTTTGAATAGTGTTTTTGGCAACGTATATTTACGAGCATGCGCAGTACAAGAGAAACGAACACGTTTTGAGAATCGAACCAAAGTTGACGTTTTATAAAATTTTCCTATTTTTATTTGTATTATTGGTGAATACATTTTCTACTTTTATAGTATTTGTACATTAAAAACAAACACCGACCAATTTCAAAACTTTATAATAGTAAAATTTAACTATTGATGTATTATATAGATTGAGGTAATTATCTTTCATTTTAACCGTGTAATTCAGTTCCTATATTGATAACTATATAATTATATGTAAATAAGACTTTCCTATATTTAATAAATCAGTGTGAGAACAACATATATCAATTTAACAGTTCTGTTTGTGGAAACACCACGTAAATTTATTACTGCAATGGTGATAAATAATAAATTATAATAAAGTAGTAATAAATTTACGTGGTGTTTCCACAAACAAAACTATTATATTTTATCGCCATGCAAACATACAAAGAACTTATATATCAATTTCATGGCAAAAAACAAAAAACCGCTTGCAGCAAAGCTCTGAAGTGACCCCATATGATTCCCAAACCTTTGTTTACAAATTGCATCTGATGACGCGTTTTACGCATTGTGATTGACTTGGAGCAAAAATGTAAACAAAAGCGCTGATTGGTCGAGAACAAAATTCCATCTTGTTGTCTGTTTTCAATTGCTCAAAATACGTCAAATTTCATTGAATCCCGGATAAAATAAAATAATATTTATAAGGGGCAATAAATAATATTATGTTGACAAATAATAGTAATTCTTTGTTTTATTATTCAGCGATTGGGTAAAACGCGGATATGATGTTTAAAACATATTTCAGAGAAAAATAGGTCATCTAGATCTATCCGTTCGTCCGTCCGTATCAGCGTTTTTATTATTGTGACTCTGTCCACATATGCAATTTGTAATCTAGGTAAATTTCTTTTTCGGAAAAGTAAATGTAATTTTTACTTATTACTTTAATAGAGTAATTTTTACAACACTGGTCACAATCAGGGCCACGCATATTTTCTGTCATGATCGTGACAGACATTGATCATGATGAGCCCAAAATTACACTTACCCGTAACTATTTTAAATGATAAATTTACTAATAATATACATAAAAATATTACTCGACTGTGATTGGTTGATTTCAGTGCAGTTAATCCCAAAATACAACAGTGCAATTCTCTGCAATCACAGTGCGCGCAATTTTCTGTAATCACAGTGCCATTTTTTGAAATCAAAGTGCAATTTTCTGTTATCACAGTGCAAAATCTGTAACAAATTAATCTGATTGCTGGAAAAAATAAACCAATCAGTTTAATTAAAGCAGTTCTCAAGTAATGGTCACAGATTGCTTCAAAACAAAAAACAAAACAAAACAAAACAAAACAAAACAAAACAAAACAAAACAAAACAAAATAAAACAAAACAAAACAAAACAAAACAAAACAAAACAAAACATAGCATCGCGCTACATAAAGTAAAAGTTGACTTCGGTTGGAAAATATGGCTTTTATCTTGTTTTTTTAAATGGAAAAGCTTTTACCTTAAATTAAACATCAAGATCACTAAAAATCTTTAAAACATCTGCCAATCAATATTTGATCAGCAACGAATACTTTCGACTTTTGTATGGTTAATCCCTGTTGTAACGGTACCAAAACTACCGTTAATGAGATCAAAATGTATCCAAGATGGCGGACATCTCATTACTTCAAGTGAAAATATTTCAAGAACTAAGCAAGATATGAAAAATCGGTAAAAGAAGTTAATATAGAGTTTCAAAGTTCTTTCAAATGAGAAAATAAAAAATATATTGCCATTTTCCTTTAAGTGGAATTTTCAAGCTGTTAGCGTTGCATAATATGATGGAAAACTTTGCCAGTGGACGGCAGCCGCCTGGACGGTAATCGCTATAAACGCACTCTCCTCCGCAGAGTCTGAATTATTTAGGATTTGTAGGGATAGTAAAGGATATTTAGTGGTGCGCGACGGGGGGGTGAGATCGATGGTTGACAAAATGTAATCAAGACTCTGCCATATAATGCGCGTTTCTCGGGTATATTCTGCGGTTCTCGGGTATGGCTGAAATAAGGCAAGAAAACGACTCGGAAAGCAGCGATGTGGACATTTTAGAAGTTTCCCTTCACAATTTAAGTATCAAGGGTAAGTTGAATGAATTTTATACAATATTTATGTCGCATTTGCCGGTATTGGGCTATTCCAATTAATATCCGCACCCCCCCTGTTGAGGAAGGGGGGCTTTTCTGACCCTATCCCCTGGAATTTCCATGCAGAAATGACCACCTCCCTTGGAAATCCAGAATAATTTTCACTCCCCTGTCTGGAAAATTCCATACACATAATCACCCTACCCTGGAAATTCCTGTAACCCTCTGTTGAGGAAGGGGGTTTTCTGACCCTATCCCCTGGAATTTCCATGCAGAAATGACCACCTCCCTTGGAAATCCAGAATAATTTTCACTCCCCTGTCTGGAAAATTCCATACACATAATCACCCTACCCTGGAAATTCCTGTAACCCCCTGTTGAGGAAGGGGGTTTTCTGACCCTATCCCCTGGAATTTCCATGCAGAAATTACCACCTCCCTTGGAAATCCGGATTAGTTTTCACTCCCCTGTCTGGAAAATTCCAGACACATAATCACCCTACCCTGGAAATTCCTGTAACCCCCTGTTGAGGAAGGGGGTTTTCTGACCCTATCCCCTGGAATTTCCATGCAAAAAATTACCACTTCCCTTGGAAATCCGGAATAGTTTTCTCTCCCCTGTCTGGAAAATTCCAGACACATAATCACCCTACCCTGGAAATTCCTGTCATAGAGTTGACCATTCATGACTCTAAAAATTCAAAAGTTTTTTCCCTCCCAAGGAATTTCCATGTATAATCGAACCTATACCCCTTGGAAATCCATGACAATATTAACTATATATATATATATATATATATATATATATATATATATATATATATATATATATATATATATATATATATATATATATATATATACCATTACGCATATATATATACCATTACGCTCCTTCACTTCGGTGTTGTTGACAGGGATGGATCCAGCATGGTCTGGTAGGGGGGGTGCTCTGCCAAAAAATTTTTTTCTGAAAGCAACAACCTCCCCCCCCCATCGACAGCTTTTTAGGGAAAAAAATTTTCCGGACGAGTACGTTGCAATTGCTTACCAGTGACTTTACACATCTATCAACTTGCTTAACTACTGCAAAGTCTAGCTAGAGTAATTGAATTGTAATTGTTGTTCACAGCTCGCTTATCATCATGTTATTACTCAAATTACTGAATCTCATTTTGTCTCTGATAATTTTTTGCTTTATCATGAAAAATAGCACCCCCCTGCACCCCTCCTGGCCAGGGCTAGGGGGGGTGTACACCCCCCTGCACCCCCCAGTAAATCCATCCCTGGTTGTTGAGCACTCTGCGGAGTTGTTAATGGATGTCTATTAGCGATAATGCAAAGCTCACTTCCCTTGTGGTCGCTCGAGCACTCTGGCTCCATTACGCTCTGCGCATGTCTGGATGCGTTGAGTCACCGTGTTGTACCACATGCCTTGGTGAGAGCAAGTTCATGGGGTATTAATACGAGTGTCTCACGTATCTAGACGTGTACCAAGCTGCACTGACGAGGCGTTGAACGCCGAAACATGCATGTCTGCAGATTGTACTATATATATATATATATATATATATATATATATATATATATATATATATATATATTTATATATATATATATATATATATATATATATATATATATATATATATATATATATATATATATATATATGTTCAACCGTGGAACAGCCAATTAGACGGTCTCAACGTATACAGGAACGTAGGAACACCGCAAAACTTTAATTAAAGGACATTGGCAACCAAAATTTTTATTACTTATATCTATTAGGTATACTGACGGAATATCTAATTTCATATTTTGGCCGGTTTATCGCGTTTAGTTGCTGAGAAAATTTGATTGAATTTGAGAAAATTTGAACAGTTGTCCGCCATTTTGAAAATAAGCGCGTATGCTAACTTATGCCACAAAATACATTATCTGACGTCATTGGCTGGGTAAACACAATCTCATGACTATAAACAATACCGTGTATTACCACGCGTAGTGCATTTTGAGCCAAAGCAAAAGGCAGAAAAGTTTTACCAAGTATGTAACTTGTTTGTAACACTATTTGTCATAGTATATATCCTACTCCGTGTTAAATAAGCGCAGAAATTCGAGTGTAAAAAGGCAAATACTAATGCAATATTTTATGATCAATTACCTGCATTGTAAATTGCGCCATTTCTTGCTTTCCCAGTCGCTCGATATGTTTTTATCTGATAGTGTAGACTTCTCTTGTTTGATTGCGAAGAGTGTTGGCCAGTATAACGCTCAAAACGACATATTTTTAGCTAACATAACACACACGCAATAGAATTCTCTCTTTTAGTTTTGGTGCTACCCAGCCAATGACGTCACAAAGTTCATTGACCTTCGAGATAATTTTTCAAAAATATTTTCCAAGATGGCGGCGAAACTGGCCGAAACACAAAGTTTGCATGCATTTTACTCCAATTACTCGTAGACTAAAATGTTCAAGAAGGAAATGATAATATTTTCATAGTTCGGTTGTCAAGTAGGATTGAAATAGCCAATAAAAATTTTCGTTGCCAATGTCCTTTAAGTAATGTACATATGTAATTTTAATCTCAGTATTCTGAAGAAGGCTCGAAGTACCAAGTCGAAAGCTCAATAAAAGTATATTTTAATCCGGAGAACTTTAATTAATTATAATATGCTTGGATTACAAATCTTTGAACATATATATATATATATATATATATATATATATATATATATATATATATATATATATATATATATATATATATATATATATATATATATATATATATATATATATATATATATATATATATATATATATATATATATATATATTGTAATAGGACCAACCGCTTGGAAATCCAGGGCGGTTGTAACTTCCACCGCGGACATTTTAATCAGATAATTGACCTTTTTCATTAGTATTGACAGTTCACTGAATTATTCAGAGGACATGACAAAGACAACTAAGTAACATAATTGTGGTACGTCGCCTAAGGTATAACTAAAAATTATATTTCACTCACTATGCTAACACATGTATCTAAAAATGACAGTTATAAGTTATTCTGTTTATTATAGATATCATAACTATTGTAAAAGAAAGGAGATTACTTCTTGATTGGTCGACAGGACGCCGGATTGTTATTGATGAATGGTGAAGGATCGCTTTAAGTATTATAAAGCGAAGCAAACTATGAAAGTAATAATTTTCATTTTCATTAATAATAAGAGTCAATAATAAAAATAGTCACAAACAAACCAATCATAAAGTAATTTGTTCATCACACGAGTACAGAGTGCCAGAGATAAACATTTAACAATTAACACTGAAGGCTCACAGCGAAACAACACATGCACTGAAGCGAAGCATGTCAGGCTTCAAGTGCATATGACATGAAATCTCTTATTTCTTAAATGAAAGAACTCTTTAAGCTGTAGTGTAACTTATATTTCAGTTTCTTGTTTCTATGGTTTGTACCCGAGATATTTAAATTTGTTTGATATATGTAAATGAGTGTCAATATGTCCGCTAATTTATGACGTCATGTTGGTTGCAAGCTCTTCAAAATGGTTGAATATCACTGCTATCATCCAAGATGATAATTTCAAACTTCACTCACTGGTAAATGTGATGAAACACTGTAGAAAAACGTGAACAGATATTTACAGTTTTTAGAGTTAATATAGATTTATATTTTTATAACCAGTGTAAGTTGATCTTGCAACCAACGTGACGTCATAAATTAGCGGACATATTCACACTCATTTACATATCAAACAAATTGAAATATCTCTGGAACAAACCTAGCCTCCTGCGCAGACGTTGTTAGTGGCCGAGGGGCTGGTGCGCAGGAGGCTAGAACAAGCCATGAAATCAAGAAACTGAAAAATAAGTTACACTACAGCTTAAAGAGTAAAATAAGAAATTTCATGTCATATGCACTTTTTTTCATTTCTATAGCTACAGTTCCAAGGAAAGAGCTCTTTATAATATAGTGCATATAGTATTATAGTGTGTTTTGTTAATGACAATATAGTTGCTTATATTAGCGTACAATTCACTCAAACCTTGATATTGATTTTCCACATGTGAGGAAAATTGTCTGACTAATTAGCATAGAATTTCATCAACTTAATACGGGTTCATTTGTGAATTTGAGATGTAATGGACTATCATGAAGGCATTATAAATACCAGATATACAGTCCTTACAACTACTTCAGTCCTTAATGGATATTTGATATATTTTGTAAAATGATCTCCTCAGTTAATTTTAACCTAATTTTAGACTGCCTTCAGCTACCAATGGGGAAACATCAAGTGTATATAATTCATCTGCTTTGCTAGGGTGTTCAACTACTATTTGATCTTCATAAGAATCAGCTGACTGAACATATGCCACATACCATCCTGGTTTCCATCCTGTGTCTTTAATTTCGTCTGCAGACCACCTCACCTTTACTTTAGTTCCGATTTCAAAAAATGCTTCGAGGTTTGTTCTCACTGGCATATCCTTTGAGCAACCGATATTCTTTTCTTTTAAAAACTCTGCCCCCTTATCTCTATTTACTTCCATTCTAATTCTTAGATAGCTTTTTAATTTTTCGAATATTTTATGCAAATTTTCCAGGTTAATTTGGGAATTATTGGGAATAGGATTTTTCACCTGTTGTGTAGAATGTGTTCGTTTTCTATATGTATCCTCCGGATGTCTCAAGTAGTCCTGCCTTTCTTCCAAAACAAGCTGTTCGGCATCGTTAATAGTATTAAGAATTTCCTTCTGCTGGTGGTAAAAAACAAGATGATGGTATCCTTTTCCTACAAGATACAACCGAAGAATAAGTTCGTCTCGATTGCCTATTATTGTGAAGCCATGATTTCGTAATAGTCCTTTGATTTGTGCTGTTGTCAGGTTCTGAATTTCTTTAACAGTTTCAGGCACGCTTTCTACCTTTAACTGACTTTCGGTTGGTGGTGTGCTTTCTACTCCCGCTTCGTACAGTCGCTGAACGAGATGATGTTTTAAGCCCTTTGTCTGCAGTCCTGCATTTTTGCACTTCTCTTGTAGTTGTGACATCGAATTTTTCTTGTACAATGATGTACCATTCCACTTCTCCTTTAATTTGTCCTCCTCAAACGACTTTAATTGTTGATCATTGGTTTCTTTAAAATACCTTCTGACTTCAGTTTCCGGAATCCATAATAAGAGAGAAATTTCATGAAATGTATCATCAGGAGGATGGCAGTTTATTTTAAACAACATATCTAAAAGCCGAGATGGGAGAAATAGCCCTGGAACGGTATTCCATCTTCCCTGGACGGAGCATGTTATGCGCGAGTTTCTCTCTAACGTCAAATAATGAAATTCGTTCGTTTTAAACCATCTTACATAATCGGGTATCGGCTGTAATTTGTTTCGCTGCTGTTGCCCCCCAATCCAGGCATTATCTGGCCTCCAGAGTGTTGTTTGGTATTTGTCATTCCATGCTGTTCGTTCCTCTACAAATGCGTTGTTAACCAACATGTAGTCATTTGTGTACTGCCCCGTGAAATTTTGTGTGTCAACATTCCACACCACTGATAAACTTTCAGTAATATCATTTTGAATTGTATTATAGGTCCATGTACATTCTTGTTTCTTTTCTTCTGAGAAGCTTAAGAATGTTTGCAGTCTTTCCTCATCATCAAAAATAATATTATCTGCAACTCCTCTGAAGACTTGCAAAACTTTTCCATTGAACTTGGCCTGTTGAATGCACTTTTCTACCCTGCATGCCATCTCCTCCATGTTTTCTTTGTGTTCTCTGCTACCAGGTTCTGCTTTCTCGTGTACTAATTTGGAACTAAAATGATCTCGTGATAACACTTCATTTTCGGCAGCATGTACCCTTTCAACAAAATTCCTCTTGCTGTGATATTCGGCAAACGATATTTGAGATATTGAGTCCAAATTTAGAAATTTCAGCATTCTAGCTAGCCAAAGTTTTACGAGGGGACTTGCCGGAGACTCAGCAGGTCCGTTATCAGTAACAAAGATGAAGTTTTCCTTGAGTTTCCCAGATACAGGGTTTCTGAATACAAAGTCTAGAGAAGGCTTAGTAAGAAGAAGAAATATCTCGTTAAAAGTCCTACTTGTAGTTTCTGGTTCAAAGAACGAAAGATTTAAAAGTGTTACTGCTCGTCCAGTTCTTGTTACATGCAGAATGAGAGAGCTTTCTTCTACTGGCGTTATATACATGTCTGATTCGTTTAGCAGCAGTGGAATGGTTTCTTTGTGTGTCACACAGGGTTCTAAAAATAAATGGGACATAGGTGTGATCGCATTAGTCCTGCTTTGATCCCAGTCGTGATCCGGCAAATGAATATTTTTCCAAGTTTTCCCTGGTTTTTGAACAGGACAGCTATCAGCTAACACGATTCTTTTTGCATCTTTCGAATCCAGAACGTAAGCATTTTCTTTTCCGATTGCAGTATCGACGGTGTAATTCACGTTGCATGTTGACCAATGAAGATTTACTACAAGTTTGTCATCAACAACGGCATCACGCGGTGGACGATGTAAAGATATGTTTGCATTTATGTTTCTTCCGGCATGATGTCGCTTGGCTTCATGTGAATTTTGTCTATAATTTTCTGTATAATTATAACACGACGACAATGAGACAGTAAAATTTGAGGGAGCACATGCAAGTACTATTTCTCTAGCTTGGCGCATGAAAGTCACATTATCTGGCGTTCGGTATCGTGTTGTTGTAATCAACCGAGGATGGCTTTCCAAACCACCTCCCCTTTTGTCATCAGTAGAACCAGTTTCAAAAACATTTTCAATGATTTTTGACATTTCAGGGAATTCTTCAACTTTTAGTTTTCGACCCCTTCGATCGAATTTCTGTTGAAGTTTCGCTTCGTTTTTCTTGCGTTTCTCTACAATCCTTTTTGTTAAACGCCTTTGTTGTTCATTAGTCATATCGTTTCGTACCACTCCTGACGTTCTTTGTATGTCTTGGAACTGATTAAGCTTAGTTCGGAGTTCGTCTCTGGCATTCATTGTTGATGTTTTGTTCGTTACACCTTGTAATTTGGTAACAAATTTTGTACTTGTTGCCTGTGCGAACAGTGCTTTTAAAACGTCTCGAGCTTTTTTTGTGTCGACATATGCCAGTGAATCTTGAAATATATCTCCAATGGCTGCGGCAATTTTGTCGTTGACAATTTTCTCAGAGTTTGTTAGATTAGATAATCTCTCAATAAGTTCATTTACCTTTTGATTTTTGTTTTCTATTATGAAGGCCTTACCACAAATATAGACTTGCTTGATGTTTAGGAAGCGAGACAGTTGACTAAATATTAGTGCAGACGATGTTCTTGGTCGTTTATCTACGGATATATTCAAGATGCGTTGCTGTTCCTCTAGAAATACGTTGCCGACCTCCTGTGTTGAAAGTATGGGACCACTTGTTTCTATATATTCTGCTGCTTTCAAGGTTGCCATCAGAGTTGCTTTTTTTTTGTTGTCCTCCGCTGTTGAAATAAGTAACATCAGGTTGGACTTCGCCTCTGCAAACGTTCCAGTGAAATTTTCATACTCAATACTAATTTTAGTGTTATTATGCAGGGTTTCTTTTCTTTTAATATTCCTTTTTTCTCGTGCGATATTTTTCGCTGGCAAGCATACCACGCCGTTGGTACCAAGTCTTCTTAAGCAAGGGAAATGGGAATTGATCATGAGTCTGATCCTTCGTCGGCTTAGAAGCATAATCTTTGCCTTCCTTTTCACTTTTCTCATTTTCCACCTTTTTTCCAACTTTTGTATACCATTCAACAGGAAGTAAGGGATACGGTGGGCTAATGATTGCATTTTGTTCTATATCCTGGCATTTGTCATGGAAAGGAGTGCATTTATCGGCCTTACTCGCTTTCATCTTAATTTCCCTCTCCATTCCTATCTTTTCGTACCATTCAGTAGGTAATAATGGATAAGGACGTGATGTACCAAAGCAGGGTAATGCAGTGAACAATAATTCTTCATCAGATTTCTTTATTGTGTCTATAGGTCTAGTTTCACATGTGTTTTCTGAAAGTGTTTTGCATTTTTTGTCAACTGGTGTTTCTATTGAAGAAGAAATTGCAAACTTTCCATTTTTCTCACAAAAATTGCCATTCGGTTTAATATGGGAAAATGTAGATGTGGGATTAAAAGGTTTCTTTGGACTAGAGATGCTTCTATCGATGTCACTGGTGTCTATTTTCCTTTGTCGTTTCAATTTCTTGAAAGATTTAAATGCGTTTCTTCTAGATAGGTTTTGAGAAGTTAAAGAAGAAGTGAATTGTGCCTTTGAATGTGATGATAATAAATTGGGCAATGCCGAAGCAAGTGGTGGAATAAGCGGGGGAAAATCGTTTTCGTCGAATGAAAACCCTTGACCTTGTAAAGGTTTCTCTGACAAAGTATTAGCGGCAATGAGTGGGCAGAAGTGATTCGGCTGAAAGCAGGTTCCTTTATTGTTGTCTATCATACTATCTCTTGTAAACATGATGTACAAGGTATCACTTTTCTCTGTCACTTCTCTAGGTTTAATTAAACCGTGGCATAAAGCGCGAACAGCTGGGCTAACATCGGGATAAACAGCAAAAATTGAAAATTGAAGAACTGATGATAGAGCCATGAAGTGAATCAAACTCGACCAACGTCTAAGGAAGCAAGTCTCTATAGCTTGTTGTTTCAGACATTCGAACTTGTTATTTGCACTTTTAACATCAAATGACAAAGACATCATGAAATTTGTGGTCAAGCTGTAATGACTCTTCACATCATTAAACCTTTATTGAGAAAAAAAAGCACTTACATGTATATCACTTTTTACGCTCACTCCGTTATACAATTGATGAGCCAAGGAATATTTTAACATATATACTGGGGGGGGGGGCATTTGGCCCCCAGGCCCTGTTGTTGGCCTCCACTCATGCAAAATTGGCCCCCACTCCTTGGGCCCGGCCCTTGTAACACATTTTGTGTCAAATCATGAAATGTGAATGTAGTGAGTCTTCATCTGTATTTTATCATAGTTAATGAGAGTATTTGAAGAAATTCTTTAGGGATTCGTCTGGATGTTTGTAAACTTTAACTTTTATACAGTAACTTTGAGTTAAAATATATGTTGAAAGACAAGCACATTGCGAGTAAAAGTATTAAACATTAACTTTTTATATTTATTTAAAATGCAGAATTATTTAAAATCCCCCCCCCCCCCAGAATGCATTAAATAGCAATTTTGGAGTATCCAGATTTCAACATTTTCCAGGGGAGGACGCCTCCGGACCCCCGTACAAAACTTGTGCCTTCGGCGCTTGCTCAATGGGCCCTTTTCCAAGTTATGGCCCCCACTTGTAAATCTTTAAAATATGCCTTGTGATGAGCGCATTCAAAATTAATAATTATAACATTTTCCAGAGTATAAAATTAACGTGAACATAAAATTGCTGCATGTGAGGACTCACTACTTGATTTAGTAACTGGTAAAATTATGACTCTCATTTTATGGTACATGTACAACGTATGATAGTGTGACGTTTCTAGAAAGGGGAGTGGGGTCTGTAGAGAAACGTTCACATGACGTTTCTTATGGATAAATGCAGGTCCTGCTATTTGATAATTAATGGCTAATGCCTTAGGAATATAGGTCAGTTTCAGTCCCCTTTCGATTGTTTTTATCTGCCCAGTCTGCAAGGAGTGGGCCGAAATTTCTTATTTTGACTTAAAAAACTCATTAATAATTCAGGAGCAAAACACAAAGAAAAATCATAAGCGTGTCGTGGTTTTATATGTCATAAAAAATTATGTTAATTTACATAAACTTTAGCTTTGATTTTTTCGGTTTAGACAAAGTTTATTTTAAAAATTACTTCGCCAATGAACTCGTATAAGATGAGTCGTTTTTTAAGCTATTTAAAGCACTTGTAGTCGTACGTACACTCCTACGCGTGCTTTAAATAGTACATAGAGTTGATGTTCGCGGGCATAAATTAAATATGTTTTTGGCCCGACACAGACTCATTTTACTAGCCCTAGTGCAGCGAGGGTTAAAATGAGTTCTGACGAGTGACAAAAATATATTTATGCCCAAGAACATCAACTGCATGTGTATTACTATTAAGAGCGTGTCTCTCTAAAAACCGCCCACTGACTTGGGGCTCGAAAAATAAATTTCTTCGAAACTTTTACCGTGAACTACATTTACTTTAACAACAAACAAATGCTGTTTGGAATTTTGAAAATATATTTAGTTTCAAAGTTTTAGCGATTTTTTGGTCTCGCACTGTCGCGGGAGAAATTCGCCGGCTAATTAAACGAAAAAATGGGCTGAATTTAAATAAACATAATTTCAAAAGTTTTTGTTCAAAATTTCTGATATTCACACCCAGCACCGGAAAACTATCGTAATTTCATCTAAACTAACTTAGGTTTTCAATTGCGGAGCATTTGTGACAATATTTAGCGACAAAGAGCACCATGTCAAAATACAGCTTTCAAATCCTACTATTTTCTACGTTGAATTTCTTAAAAGTGGGACCTAATTACATACAGTGACTAGTATAGTTGGAAAAAGGACACTTTGAATTACTAAAAACCGTAATAAAACTCGTCTGCAAACGCGATTTGAACAATTGAGAGCGTTTGAAATTTGATACTATTTATGGCCTTTTGTTTACATTTGAATGTTGCTGAGGTCAGACGTCTGAGTTCATGTCACTGCTAGAAATGCCCTGTAGTTCTGCCAAATAACATTTTCTCATTGCACTTCTCTCAAAGCAAATCGATAATGTCATAGTACTAAATTAGATTTCGTTGTTTATCTTACAAGATATTTAAATAGATGATATTAAACATATAAAATTGAATCACGGTAAACACTTGCAAAAATGTCGCCTGGGGAAAACCCAACAAAAGCTTTTGTTTTGTATTAAACTATTACCTTTCCGGTAATTACGTCTCAACTGCATGGAAGTGAGGCTGAGGGGCCAAAGCGTATGCCATTACGCGTTTGCTTGGCCCCTCAGCCTCACTTCCATGCAGTTGTGACGTAATCACCGGAAAGGTCTATTTCGATTATTATGTACTGTACAACCAGTCAATGTCATGCAAACATTGAAACACAAGTATACTTTTAGCATCCTATCATACACTGAAATTGGCACTTAGCGCATTTTAATTTAGGTGGGTTTTTTTTTAAACGTAGCACTGAGTAAAGGCGAGGTTAATTTAAATGAGACAATTTTCTGCAATGCAATTTCTGCAATGCATTACTATAGGCAAATTAAGCCCACCTTTCAACACGAAAAGGAACAACTTATAGGAAGTTGCGTTTATAGTTGCCAAATACCACAACCACATTCACAGGGAGATCGTCTTTCAGTGTACGTGGCATGAGTGACACCCACACGTGTTTTTTGCAAACTTGCGACATGACAGGGAAACGCGAACCCATTTTATAACTTGGTCTACCTTTGCTAGCCCGAGTAAAAAGCTAATTATCAGCATGTCGCTGTGATACTACAGTGTACCTCTAATTTCCAATGTTACCATGCGAATGCCACACTGGCCTATTCGCGGTGCAACTCTAATTATATTGCTTATAACAAATTAACAATGCGATTATATATCTCTAATTCGGACTATATTTATCACTTATGAGAACCAACTTGCGCAAGTTCTCCATAAATTTGGAATACATCCCGTGATACTTCCAGGTTAATGACATCTTTTCCTTTGCAGCGACGTGCAGGCGCAGTGTGAGGATGTTGGCATGTTAGACGATGTCTCCAGTATCGGCCCAAGTTGTACCGGTGGTTTGGGCATACTGTCATAGAGCGTATTTCTTCTCTGGATATTTCATGTAAAAATTCCGCTCTTCTCAAAATCAGCTCGCGCTCGCTAAAACTCGACAAAACGGCAACTTGAAAGATGGTTTTGAATGTTCTCATCACAATCTCTAAGCGTCTAATACCCGATTCACCCCCGACACCCTCCGCATACAGTTGAACCGACAGCATTACTCTCAAATTTTGCAGCAATATTTTTCAAAGATCAACTTCGCAGAAAGGTTCCAGAACTAAACTTCGCACATTTATAGACTTTTCGAACTGAGCAATAGTTTAGTATGCTGCAACGCAAACT